AGAAAATAATTTCTCTCCTTTCTACTATATATTCGCATGATATTCGAAACTTTAGAAGAATTAATAACCCTGCACTGACATGGTTCTCGCCATCCCATTAGATATAAACAATGTTTTAAAAACCGACCCGGCTAGCTAGTTGATATTTGCGGGACTTTTAAATTTTTTTTTTTTTACAAATTTAAAAGTCGTTCATCGAATAATTTGATTCATAGTTTTACTCGTATTCTCCGTTTTCTTGCATTAACTCTTTTATTTATCGTGCTCATTTTCCATTCTTGCAAAGATTATATTCCGTACGGAAGAAAAAAATCCAAATCATTTCAACTATATAATCAAAATTTGTTGAAATTTGAAATTTGAAATTTGAAATTTGAAATTTGAAATTTGATATCGTGAGAAGGCTACAGTGACGTTCAATCGCCTCCATGGAAACATAACACTCCCTGGTTTCACGATCGCAAACGGGGTCCGTACCTTACGTACGGTTTCGATGTTCACGAATTAATTGAAGTACATGAAAGGTACGTTGGATGGTATGGCGTTCTTCGTCGGTTCTACGAGATATGGATCTGTCATCGAAGAAGAAAACGACGACGAAATACCGATCAAGAAGACATAAATATGTATATTTATATATATCCAAGTCCATACAATCATGTTTTTCAAGAAAAGAAAAGAAAAATTAATAGGCTTTTTAATCACTTAGTACCGTATTTTATTGACGACGTTTTTCATAATTCGTTGTTAGCACATCATATAACTGTTTAGCGCCATTAGACTTGAGGTAAGCCGTATGTTAAGTGTATATTTATACACTTAATTATACCTTTTAATTGGAGCTTTTGGTATGTTTTAACGATAATTGGTGCTTAAAATGGCTATTAATTGTATTTTAGGTGCAAATTGAAGAATTGGAAACTTATGGGGTGAAAACTGCAAATTCGGAGAAAAAGTGGGCCAAAAGTGAAAAAATCAGATTTCTGAAGAATTGAAGACCGCGCGGCCGTGCGGATTTCAGGCATAAATCTCACACGGCCGTCCGGATGGTCGAGGTGGCGCAGTGAAGGAATTTTAATTACACAAGGAAACCCGCCCTATTATATTTTTGCACCCTATTTAAAGGCCAAAAGCACACAATTAGATCTGGGGAATCTTTTATCTTTAGTTTTTATCTTTCATCTTTCTACACGCAATCAAGGAGCACAAGAGAACGAAGACGAAGACTTGACGAATCTTAAAAAAAAAAAAAAAATATTTCGATGCATCGATGAATTATGATGATGGGAGATGGTCAATGTTTGATGATGAGATTACTTGTTTTATGTTGATAAGGAGTATGTATTCGTTTAGCTTTCGATTCAACGGAACGTAGAC